ACAAATCTCTTCAATAGATAATAAAGGTTCCAATTTCCCCCAATGCCGAATATAATAAATGCACAACATTTCTGGTGTCTGTTAACGCAGAGTAAACGAAACTAGAAATTTATTTTTGTATTTAACCAGGTAAGGCCCACTAACCTATGTAGGTCTTTTTATAAGTGATCTGGCCACAAATGATAGCTTAATGAAGTGGCTTATCACATGGAAATTTAAAGCAGTCAAATACTCTAAAAGCGTGATGTTGATTCTAAATGTGGAGGGAAGAACCAGAGAACCCGCAGAAAAATCCAAGCGACCACGGAGAGAACACGCAAACTCGAAATATACAGCAGGCGTCAGGGTTGGGGCGACCTCCTGTATACCTGGCGAGGTAATTAACATCTCGCCCCTCGCCGACCGCAGAGACGGTCGGACTGACATGCCTCACGCTGGCCAGGCTCACACACCGGGCCCTCTCCAACAATTGATCTTCAATCCGGCACTCGCTCCACCAGCCGCGTGCAGTTGCGAGGGTCGTGAGGTCAAATCCTCGTTCGGGGTTTGGCTTGATCCATTATCCCTCCGGGGGTTGGTAAAATAGGTACCTCTTTGTGGGGAAGTCAACAGTGGTTGTCCCATGAAGAGGCTCTGCCCATGCCATAGGAATATGGAATTTACACCACTGTACCACTATTCAGAACGTGGAATTTCCAGCGCTCATTTGAGCAGGAATTCACTTTTACTTTTTGTTACTTTTACTATCAACGCACAACATAAATGTTGCACGTCCACTGCTAATTGCTTCATACAAAAACACCACACTGTATGCGAATATTGCATTCTTGGCAACACCGCGTTGAATACGCTGCATACAGGCGTCGTTGTACGAGCAAATTGCGCTCCCGTTAATCCACGCTCCCCGTTATTACATCACGCTAAATGCTTCGCGAAAAACTTACGTACGAGATTAGGGTTAAGTTAAGATTACACGCTTAATCCAGACATTACTGCGTCAGTGGCGTGCACTGTGCCTCTCAAAAGAGTGTATTCATTGAGGGGGTGCGGGAAGAGAGCGGGGGAGGGAGGGGGAGCCGAGGAGCCCCCCCCCCCCCCGGTGTAATTACTCTCGCAAGTTGCAGCAACACGTGCAGCGCTTCGGGTTTAGGGCTGAAGGCCTTCTCGCCAGGTGACGACACGGAGCCACTGTAACTGGCCTCCCAGCGACTGTACGTATGCATATTGAACTTCTTTCGCACCGTACGTAGCCAACCGTGCGAATCGGAGAGTGTGGGGGAAGGACTACAAACTGAGCGCAAACAAGCAGTTCTAAATAAGTGAGTTTTCAATCTAGACTATTCAAAAGTGCATAGCTCCCAATGGCTTCCTAATATCGGAAGGAAGATGTGTTCCAGACGGCTGCAGAAGTGCGTCTTTGTTCGATGGCTCGCCAAAATCCGCTGCTGCGAGAATGGCAGGAGTTGCGTGGTGGTGGTCTATGCTGCTTGACGAGAATCAGCACTCTCTTGCCCGCACTGTAACGTGCGGGAGCTGAAGGACCGAATCCGCCAAGGTCTGCTCAGCTGGCTGTGTGCCTCACTTGTATTGGCCACGCTCAAAGGGCGCCACGGTGGCGAGATGTTAACTACCTCGCCTGTCAATTTGGAGTTTGCACGTTCTCCCCGTGGTTGCGTGGATTTTTCTCCAGGTTGTCCGGTTTTTCGTGAATTGGTTTAGCATCTTATCAGTTTTCATTAAACTGCATAATAATGATGTGCAACAGCCCTTTATCAATCCACTGCTGGATGAAGCCCTCACTTTAGGCTGTGCCTATCATAGGGATAGTTTCACCACATTTCACCGTGCTGGCCAGTGCACCTCAGGGGACCACGAATCAATCCAAGATTTGTAAAGCGCCATATTCAGCAAAAAGCTGAGATGAGAGCGTGGATGGAACTGAGACAAATAAAACAACATTTTAACTAAACAGAGGGTGATATCTACTGTATGCCATGACCTGTAAAGCGATCACTCTACAACTAATATCAATCATTTGCTGGGAATAAAACCCAGTTGTGACCAGATTTATAGCACGGCATGCCAAAAACTACTGCTCCCAAACCGAACTACGTAAACGGTCGCTCAAATTCAGAGCCATGTCAGTGGGCCGCGGAGACTACGGGGGAGACATCCAGAGGCAGCGACGTTGCGCGAAGCCTGTGGACGCCCGATCGCCGTCCCGTGGTGAGCGGCGATGGCTGCGTAAGAGGCTCTCTGCTCTGGAGCGGGGCGAGCATCCCCACGGACACCGATCGTCACCGAGCGTCATCGTCAATACGGACGGCCCATCGCTGGTAACCCTCGCGAACGCCGAACGTCGTCAAGATCATCGCTCACCGTTCGCCGACCTCATGAGTGCCGTGCATTCTGCGCACAGAGGAGGCGTATCTTTGTCCGCCAGTGGTCACCACGCTCTGTGCCGACTATCCCTACGCCAAGCCGGCAAAAGCAGCGCTCCAGAAATACTGAGCCCTGGTCTTGACACATTTAATGGAAGTTGTTTGATCGTACTTTACCACGCTGGTCAGTGTCGGTTGAGATGTGGGGTTGGGGGAGGGACTGGTTCAGATATCACTCGCCACTCAAGTGAGCCATGGCTGGGAATCAAACCCACGAGGAATCAAACCCACCCCGACAAAGTAAAAACATGTTTTAATTAAAATCAAAGTGAAATGGTAACTCGCAATGTCAGAGCAGTCGGGAATACACGCGGCTTGGTTCATAGGAAACGCAGTAGCATCTCAACCTCAGTTTGTGAAAAATGCATTGCTCTGCTACAGTGTGAGTGGGGTTCCTGCAGCAGCAGCAGCAGGAGGAGGAACATTGGGCATGCAGCAGCAGCAGCAGAATGACCACTAGGGCATGCAGCGCAGCAGCAACAGCAGCAGGAGAGACACTGGGCTTGAGGCGTAGCAGCATGGACACTGGGCTTGTAGCAGGAGGAACATTGGGCTTGCAGCAGCAGCAGCAGCAGCAGCAGCAGCAGAGACACCGGGTATGCAGTTCAGCAGCAAGAGGGACACTGGGTATGCAGCGCAGCAGCAGCAGCAGCAGAGACACCGGGTATGCAGTTCAGCAGCAAGAGGGACACTGGGTATGCAGCGCAGCAGCAGCAGCAGAGACACCGGGTATGCAGTTCAGCAGCAAGAGGGACACTGGGTATGCAGCGCAGCAGCAGCAGGGGATGCTGGGCTTGCAGCGCAGCGTCACTTGTGCGCATAACGCTAAGAGGCGTTGGATGTAAATTAATAACGGTAATTTGATAGTCCATGTGTGTGCTGTAGGCTGTTTGGTAAACAACGCAGAAATATCGCATTGTGTGCGTACAGATTTATTAAAATTTACTCAAGCGGTGTGAGGTTTCCGCAATTTCACTTTGTTAAAATATCAGATCATGGAAAGGGTTATTTTTGTGTCCATATAGAGTATATATAAAATACTTTAACAACATTTAGACATCACAGATCAAATAGGGTCGATGCAACGAAAATAAAATTTCACTAAAATCATGTAGGTTTACACAGAGAATTAGCGCAAATGTTAGATAACAAGGTGGCTATAATTTATCGTCGTTGCTATCGATGACTTAACGTGTCACTTTTTACACTCCCGCATTCCTATGAGCGCAGGTGCAGTGCAGTGCTCAGAGCACTCCGCCGCGGTATAAATCCACAAAGTTGGGCGGTTCGACCTCCCGGCAAGGCAGCCAAAACACAACGGCCCACGTCGATTATTTTGCCGTTACCAATGTCCAAATGATGAGCCGCTTTGTTGAGCTCTCGTTTGTGGCTCGGGTGGCTTTTAAACAATAAGTTAATACCTCAGTGGGCTTCGCCTGGTAGGATGGGAATGGTTTCGTTTTATTTGTATGTGTGTGGGTGATTTGTCTACCTTTCTTATATTTTGCACTACTATCATGTTTTTGTATTGTTTGTTGTAACGTTTTAACCCGCCACGACTGAACATCTGTGAAATAGAGCTTTATAGCTCATCGGATTCCTCCTGGAGTATAAATAAATATTCTCGTTCTGAACCCCCCACCTCCCCCCACCCAACCTCTGTCCACCCAGCATCACAGACGGCTTCACCACATTCGTGCGACCGGTAGGCCGCGCGCGGCGAGGGCAAAGTGTGGGTAACTCCCACGTGTTGCGAGGAAAGTCTGGCCAGTGTAGCAGGGTGCACCCCAATACTCTCCGGGGGAGGGGGGGCTCTGTAGGGCTACCCCAGAGTGGAGCCTCTCGTGCCAGCAGTGGCACGAGCCGGCAATTGTTGACCCTCCACCTTGGCTAGGTTTTTTGGTATATAAATATATATATTTTTTTTAAGTACCAATATTTCTTAGATGTGCCGATTCATAGTTATTTAAGCCTCACGCGTATATATCTCAACGTGTTTTCGGTTGTCATCTCGCGCATAAAGGTTCATAGATACCGTCGATACTTTGTCGTACATTAGCTCCTCTGATAAAATAAAATATAAAAAATTGCTTGAAACTAAAATGGAAATGGGGTTATGGAAAAAAATCAACAGCAATGTGAAACCCATAACCCCATGAAATGGACGCGTCTATTATAAGAATTCAGAACTCTCTATGCATTTTAATCATGCTTAAACACCAGTTCCGCAGCAATCTATTAATGTACATTTAAAATATTTAACCTGCCATTAAAAACAAAGGTTAAACCAAATTGCACTGTTAACTTATTTTAAAAAAGACTAAAGCTTGTTTTTTTTTACTGTTTGCAATAAGTACAAAATGTTTATTTGGTACTCATCACAATCTCCACGAAACGTAGCACGAAAATTCACAATGTTCATTCCGAATACAGTTACGCGCTTGCTTGGCTCCACGAAGTTGCAGGCGCGTGTGTCGCCTGACTCTGCGAACGTGAATTTCAGAAGAACCTCTGCGACACCGCTGGAGAGGAGCAGCGCGGGCGTCGACAGCGACCCACCTTTGTACGTGAGCTTGAGGCGAGGGATGCTCGTGGTCTTGCTGGAGGCAGACGCAGCATCGCGCAGCAGCATCAGCAGGAGCAACAGCAAGAAACCAGAGCGCAGCAAAGTTGCGCTGCCCTTCACGCCGACAGCCATCCTTGACCGCTCTCGTGTTAATTGCGGTGCTTCGAAGTGCTCGTCAAACTGCAACAGGGGACAGGTTGAAACGAAAAAATTATAAAAACGGCACGTTCATAAAAACAACAACAACAAAAACCGAAAGCATGAGAAATCACAAATGCCGCGACCGTGAAAGTGACTGGCACCAGACCTCGGGGTAACAACGTTTCCCCTGCCAGCAGCGGCTGCGACACACCGCGTAACAACAACGCCCGCGCTGCTGTCGTGCGTGGGACGCACGGGCGGCTGATAATAACGAGGCGCTGTAGGAGGGATGGGGTGGGGGGGGTCGCGCTGCCCCCGCCGCCGGTATCAAGATTTGTCTCGCGCACACTCGCCACGAACCAACGCACGGAAAAGTTCCCTCGCCCCCACCCCACTCCCCTCCTCCTCCACTCCACCCACACTCACTCACTCACGCCTGCTGGCGGCGTTTGAGAAGAGGGTAAGCAGGAGGTCAGCGCACAAAATCTTTAACCTAAATAAACCCCGAGGGTCCACGCTCACATCTCAAAACAGCGTCAACACGTCCCTTTTGGCAACACTTTTGAGCTGATGTACCGTCTCCCCTGAACGCTTCCTACTGAACCAAAAAAAAACCCAACCCCCCACCCCGCCTGTGCGGAAACATATGAACTTCTGGCACAGCGGCCCACTCCCCCTGCGGCCAGAAGTAACCCATCACACCTGCTCTCGAGTTCAGGTAAACTCCTCCTGGTTCCGTGAGCGCCGGCGGCGCTGGAGACGCTGGCCGCGTGAGCAAATTGAACACGAATGCCGTTGTGAGTTGTTAAACGTCGGGGCACTTCGTGGATACCTGCAAGCGAGGCCTTTCTTTGGGGTGCCGCAAACGAACGCGCGCGGTGCGCAAGTGTGCAAGTAGCAAGCGCGCGCATCAGCCGAGACATGCGTTGGTGTGGGCCGCTTTGCGAAACGTTGAGTGCCCCGTCTAATTTTGGGCAGTAAAACGACGCCGCGAAATCGTCTACTTCAAAGAACACCGCAACAAACAACAAAAATGAGACTAAATTTCAGGCCGACTTTTGTATCCTCCAGATGGGCCGAGTGGGAAGAGAAAAGCGGCCAGAAACAAAGGCAGGAGGCGTCGTCTCTCTCATTATCTGTGTCCAGGGCACCACCCTGCGCGCACGTGTGGGCGGATGGTAGAAAGGAAGAGAAAAATCAACCGTTTCCACTCCTGACAGATATTTCTCCGGCATCTTCAATCGCCGCTTGACGGATTGTGTCAACTTCCACGAGGCGTGGGCTGCCCTTTGTCGGCGTTTCTCCACGCGATGTCCCTTTTGTGTTCTCGGACAGGCTTCGTGCGTGCCCACCTCTCCCCCTCTTACAACATCTATCCCTGTTCTTTTGGTGGGTGGGGGGCACCTCCCTTTGTTTTTCAAGTGGCCTCTTCCGTGGCCTAAATAAATACAAACGTTGAATCTGACATTTTTAAAGTTCCTTATTTTTTCCCCGTGGCGACCGACCTGGGCCACATTCATGGAACGCGGCGTCTAACCGGCTACATTTTGAGCCGCCAGAAATGTACAACCGAAGATGACGCATTGTGGTTAAAACGGCTCTCTCGGTTGTTATTCTATTGTTTTCAAATGGGAGGAGCGAGCCTCGAAATGATGAACTCTGCTTCAAGCTTTGATGTTGACTCGCCCCCGGCTCAACTGTTTTCTTAGTGCCGCCGTCCTGATGCCGCATTTGGTTTGTCCCACGCATTCCATCCAACCTCATTCCATTCGAACTTAAAACTAACCGTAAACACAAAAGGGGGCATTAGCAACATATTTGCATTGAAGGAAACTTTACTTCTTTTTATTAGCAAATTAGTTGTCGTCGGCAGCAAATATGCAAAGCAGCTTCACAATACCTGCTGTGCTTACAATGCGTTTAAAAAAATGTTAACCCCATTTTATGACAATATAATAGCAATATAATTGAGAATATAATAATAATGATAATACGGAAAAGCAGGAAGCTGTTTCCATAATCATGTGACAAAACATTATTCACTATATTTATCGGGATTCCGCCGTGGTGTGTTGGTCACCATACTGGAAGTCTAAACGGCGTGGCAAGTTAAAAAACGATGCAGGCTTCCAAATAAAACCCTCCGCCTCTGTCCACCCAGCAGTCTAAAATGTATAGACCACAGTTAGTTGTTTAGTATGTCGTGTGTCGTGGATTAAAGTGTGGCTCCTCCCATCTGTTTCAATACATCTGGCCAGGATGGAAGTGTAGGCCAAATACCCTCTAGAGGGGCCCTCGAGAGCTCCTTCAGCCAGCAGTAGAGCAACGAACAATGCCAGGGCTGCACCTTTACCTTTATACAATACACACGCCATGAATGTCATGATTGTCTCGAGAATCGATACCCTCGTTCAATGTACGTGAACTCCAGAGAGCATCAGCAATAAGATTAATTTGCATTTCTGTAGCAAACTAATTTTAATTGAGTGAAAAAAATCTTCCTCTATCCCATGGGACTTCATGTAATAACAGCTCGGAGTTTATTTTATGACATGAATAAAAAAATAGAGTTGTGGAAAATATATATTAATAAAAAATACCAGAAGAAATATAGCTTGCAATCAAGGTAAACACAAACACTCTATCGCCTTAACCCCTCAGTCTAACACTAGCGCATATTTAAAAAGGAATCAAAACATATAATCACGTCAAAAAAAGACACAAAAACCACATCTGTTACATTAATCATGAACAGGAAATATAATTTGGGAAGAAAATAATACTTCCTTAATCGTAATGCCCTACGCTTGGGTGGCACTTTGGAGAGAAATCGAACAAAATCAGTAAAGGTCATACGAAAAGAGTCGTGTCATTTAGTACGAATGCAAACGTGCACTTCGTCGAGGTAAAGCCGCCGCTGCGGCGCCTTCCCGGCGTCAACTGTCGAAGGCGCGAGCGACGCTGTGGACCGTCACACGTCGCGCGGCTCTCCCCGCTCCGCTCGGATCTGACGACGCGGCGTGCGGTGTCAGACCAGAGAAAGCCAAAAGGCGTTCTCTGGTCCAACACTGGTGGAGACTGGGCCCTAAAGAAGGCCGTCATCTGGTGGAGACCAATCAGTTTCAAAGACAATGCTTATTTTACCAGAGCAAGTGTTTTATTCATGTTCACCACATGTATGTGAAGTTAATGCGGACGTGATTCCTTGCGAAAGGTTTCTATTTTATTGCCAGAAAGGGTATAAAACCTGATAATTGGTTCTTTACCCTTCTATCTGGCAACAAAACTGACACCTTTTTGCAAGGAGTCATGTTTGCATAGACCGCAATACCTGCAGTCATAATACAAACAAAAGAACATAACTCTGATAATGTGCACTGTCCTTGAAGTTGATTGGTCCACACCCGAGACAGCTTTCCGTCGAGCCTAGTCTCATATGGGTTGGACCAGATGACGCCAAAAGGCGCACAGGACAGTGCACATTATCAGAGTTATGTTCTTTTGTTTGTATTATGACTGCAGGTATTGCGGTCTATGCAAACATGACTCCTTGCAAAAAGGTGTCAGTTTTGTTGCCAGATAGAAGGGTAAAGAACCAATTATCATATTTTTACTGGCAAATGAGGTCCCCATAGTGTAGATGCTTGCCCCGAGCTCTCATACTCTGATGGTGCATTGTCCTTGAGTTGTGCGCCTTTTGGCGTCATCTGGTCCAACCCATATGAGACTAGGCTCGAAGGAAAGCTGTCTCGGGTGTGGACCAATCAACTTCAAGGACAGTGCACATTATCAGAGTTATGTTCTTTTGTTTGTATTATGACTGCAGGTATTGCGGTCTATGCAAACATGACTCCTTGCAAAAAGGTGTCAGTTTTGTTGCCAGATAGAAGGGTAAAGAACCAATTATCATATTTTTACTGGCAAATGAGGTCCCCATAGTGTAGATGCTTGCCCCGAGCTCTCATACTCTGATGGTGCATTGTCCTTGAGTTGTGCGCCTTTTGGCGTCATCTGGTCCAACCCATATGAGACTAGGCTCGAAGGAAAGCTGTCTCGGGTGTGGACCAATCAACTTCAAGGACAGTGCACATTATCAGAGTTATGTTCTTTTGTTTGTATTATGACTGCAGGTATTGCGGTCTATGCAAACATGACTCCTTGCAAAAAGGTGTCAGTTTTGTTGCCAGATAGAAGGGTAAAGAACCAATTATCATATTTTTACTGGCAAATGAGGTCCCCATAGTGTAGATGCTTGCCCCGAGCTCTCATACTCTGATGGTGCATTGTCCTTGAGTTGTGCGCCTTTTGGCGTCATCTGGTCCAACCCATATGAGACTAGGCTCGAAGGAAAGCTGTCTCGGGTGTGGACCAATCAACTTCAAGGACAGTGCACATTATCAGAGTTATGTTCTTTTGTTTGTATTATGACTGCAGGTATTGCGGTCTATGCAAACATGACTCCTTGCAAAAAGGTGTCAGTTTTGTTGCCAGATAGAAGGGTAAAGAACCAATTATCATATTTTTACTGGCAAATGAGGTCCCCATAGGGTATAAAACCTATTATTATACAGATTCAAACGTCGCACTTGAAATCACGGGCAGTTGCGCCACGCCGCTAAGCGGGCAATACTCTGTCGGCGATTCAACATCGTCTGCGATAAAATCCCTTTTCCTTCAAAGGGTTCGTTGATTTTAAATCCAAATACTTCGTGACATACCTTCACTTTCCACCAGGTAGAAGGCCCACTGAGAAGCGACCTGGCCATCACAAATGATAGCTTAACGAAGGGGCTTATCGTGTGGACATTTATAGCAGCCAAACACTCTTAGCACGTGTTTATTCTAAATGTGGAGGGGAAAAACGGTGGACCAGGAGAAAAATCCACGCGATCAAGGGGAAAGAGAACATGCAAACTTCAAATATACAGCAGGCATCAGGGTCGGGATCGACCCCACGACCTCCTGCATACAAGGCGAGGCGATGCAGATAACATGTCGACACCGTGGCACTGTGTGCGTGAACCCAGTCCAGACCCGAA